GGCTGGGAACAGTCACTGCCGTCTGAGCCCTACTTCCCCTCTGTAAGACGGGGACTGTCACTATGAATTGTCCTCTTTATTTGAAGCAAACATTTTTTTAAGCACTTACTGTGTGCCAGTCGCTGTCCTAATCACTCAGACTCATTAACTTATTTAATCCTCTCAACATCCCTATGGAGTAGGTACTATTATTCCTCCATTTTACAGTTGAGGAAACTGAGGCACAGCCAGGCCTAATAACACATCCAATTTCATACAACTAGTAAGTGGTGGAGCTGGGCTTAACCAGGCAGTGCTCCAACTCTGTCCCCCACTGGCCAGGACGTACCGTCATCACTGTCCCACAGGGGCCATCCTGGGTTGGCGTCACCACAGACACCCAGTCCCGGTCACCATTCTCCTTGAAGCCTGAGCACTGGCTGTCACGCAGGTACATGAAGACCTTCTGGAAGCCCAGGCTCTTCAGCTGGCACATGCCCAGGGACACCTTGATGTCGTTGGCCCCACACTCCACCCTGCGCTCCAGGAGGGAGACATCTGAAACAGCCAGGAAGGGCAGGATTGGGGCCTGTGTCTGTAGCTCTGGGACCCAGCACGTCCCCCAGGGCCAGGCCGAGCTGACTGGGCTGGCCACCAGCTGCAGGTGCTCACAGCAGCCTTGGGCTGTTCACGCTCCCCTCTCTGAGTGATGGGGACACAAGACTGGATTCTGAGCATCACCAGTTGCATCGGTGGCCAAATGTCCAGCCTCGTGGTCCCCTAAGTGTGGGTTGCATACAAAATGTGGGATGGTTTTGGGGCCTTTCACTGTCCCAGCATTAAATAACATTGAGTCCCCATTAAAAAAGAAAAGAAAAGAAGATGTTAACTACGTTTTCTTTCCATCCTTTCTACATCAAGGAGACAGTCCCAGCTTGCTGCTAATGTCTTTACTGCCATACACTCGCCAACTTCCCTCTTAAACAGAGGGCAGGCCTCAGGCTCAGAGTTTGGGGCAGGTAGCAACATCCAGCTAGGATTTTTTAAAAGCTTTTTTAAATTAACTTTTTTTTAAATTAAAATATTTCTTATTTTAGTATTCACTCTTAAAATTGTTTTATTGAAGAATCACACAGTCGCTGGAATCTAATAGTTTTCTTTTCATTGTATTTGTTTTTACAGCTAACCTTCTACCTAAGGTAATTGCTACTCACCACAGACAGACACAGTAGTCACCATCAATGTCCCAAATTTACTTAAAAGAAGAAGGAATTTGGCCAATTTGAAGAAAAACACTATAGGTAGTACACGGATAAAGCAAAATTATAAAATTGGCACTTGGAAGTGACTGAAATCACGACAGAAGTCTGAAAAGTACTCGCCACAATTGTACGTATGTGGAAACTGAGGCTCAGAGAGGGCCAGTGCCTTGCACAGCGTCCTAAGCTGTTTCGGTGTCCTGGCAGTGAGGAACCGGGCTCAGGTAGCCTCTGGCCACCAGGTGGCAGCAGCCCGCGTGCCCCTGTGCGAAGCGGGGGTCTCAGAAAGAAGGCTGGGCGCCAGGAGGTCCCCCAAGCTCTGGGAGCTTTGGAGTCAACTAAGGGGAGACTCGTGGAGCCCCAGAGAGCGTCCTGCCCCTTAATGGGCGTTAGTGGACCTCCCTTTTCGCTCAGACTGCCTGTGTATTCCCTGGTCCGACCCGCACGGCCCGCCTCACCCCAGGGCTGTGTCCCTCCCCAGCCGCTGACAGGCTTCCCAACCGCCCGTCCTCCCCCGCCTCACCGGTAATGTTGATCGCGGAGA